CTCGCTTGCTGCTTTTTTATCTCCTTTAATCATTTTTGCTTACATTTTTATTCCACAAAACACGGATTACTCCTTTTTACAAACTTCAACACAAGATTGTGGAATTTACCGATACGTACAGCATGTCAGGACTAGCATGTTTCGGCATTTTTGAAGGACGGAAACAGAACAAAACTTTGCGACGGCTGTTTATCACTAAACAGGAGGAACTTCTTTCAGACGATGTTTGTGATTGAATCAGAATTGGGGCTGAACACAACATACCAGTGAAGGGAAAAGGTCCAAATGGAACAAACGTAGTTATGATGACGCTATTTCATTTCCAAATTCAACAGAGGACAATTGTTCGGAAACACTATGGTGCCAAGCCCAAACAGGCCAAAAGCTAATGATAACAAGAGTGTCATAATGCCACAGCAAAATCTTTTATTACAAGAAAACCGCTTTTCCCCACTTTTGGAGCTGAATCAGCAGTGAGTTCTCAGTCCAGGTCTCAGTCTCAGTCAAGGTCAATTGCAGCTGAGTCGCTCTTTATCGGCGAATCGGCGATAAGAACGTAAACATGGTAATCTCAAGGTTCATCAGTTACACTTTGCCAAAGTGGATGTGATAAGGCGGCTGGCTCCGTGGATTATGTATGAGACGGGCGGGTAAAAGATTGTTGATCACGTGGGGGGCAGTAGAGTATATGACAACACAAGTGAAAAGTTGATAACGGGATTACTCTCTCTTATTGGACGACCTTGCCTATAATGGACGAAACTTATGTTATCAGTGGCACCACTACCAATGTGGACGGGAAGCAAATGAATTTCAGTCGTCTGTATAGCCTAAATTCTTTCCTTTTACTCAACGAAATGTTCACGCAGAGGACTTGCCTTCATTGGAAATTTTAGCTGTTTGGAAGCATGAGCTTTTTGAAGGGAAAGGGCACATTGAACAATAACGGAGTAAAAGTGTTGATGGATAACCTTTCTTTTGCTGAGGACCTTCGCCTGCGAGGCGCGTGCTAGCAATCGAAAGGAGGAAGCCGACTCTAAAAGTCTCCAGCCCTCCACCACCTCGATTGGATCTCAACACTCACCACTTCGAAGGATCTTCAACACCACCACCACCTCAAAAGGATCTCAACACCTCACCACCACCTCGAGGGATCTCAACACCACCACCACCTCGAAGGATCTCAACACCACCACAGCCTCGAAGGATCTAACACCACACGCCTAAAGGATTCAACACTCCACTGTCATCAGAGCGCTGGCATCATCACCAGTAGAAGAACAGCAGCACGACACACCACACACCAACATCTTCATCCATGAACCCTCGGAGGCGCCTTTACCTTGCTCTATAACGCAGACTCCCTAGTAGGGCCTGGCTTTTGGTAGCGCTAGCGCTAGTCCCGACCTGCCTCGTGCTGGGTCTAAGGCTAGCTAAGTTTTTGTCCCTGCCTAACGTTTTTTCCCCTTGGTGTGGCTAATCCGTAGAGAAGCAGAAGCTCTAGGTGCGATATACCAAAATCAGTCTACTTTTACTACTCACCTTTAGCCTAGGGCCGCCCTGCCCTGTCCAAGCGTTCTTCAAGGAAGGTTTTCAGAAAGTGTGAAGCGGAGTCGGCGAGCTGTCTTTCGTGAGTCGGGGCGACTCTTTTATTCAAAGCCAAGCAAGCAAATCGTCAATCCAAGTTTACAGAGTTACAAAGGTCTCGCAACACAAGTCACTCTCACAAGGACCCCTGAATGAAAGCCTCCGGCTGCTCTCGTCTGCGCTGCGCGCTGCCCGACTGTCTGACTCTCTCCGAGTCTTCCTTTTTATAGCGCATGCAGCCTTCGAGCAGCGGAAAGCCCCCTTAGCATTAAGGCTGACCTCATTCAGGAAGTACATGTACATATATGGGCAAGGAAGGAAATGCATATATGGCCATGGCAGGAAGGATGTACATATTTGGTCCTCCTGCTTGTATGGACTGTCCCCCAGTTAGGACAGCGGCTGCGCAGAGAAATGAACTTTTACCCAGTTATTTGAACTTTCCTCCAGTTAGCAGAGAGGCTGCGCAGAGAAATGAACTTTTACCCAGTTACTTGAACTTTGGCCCAGTTCTTAAGCATATATGATCTTTCCTTGCCGTGAACTTTAACACACTTTAATGAACTTTAATCTAGTTAGCATAATGTTACATAAATCACCTTAAATCACATTACACTTTATTAAATCACATTACTGACCATCAAGATCACTATTTAACGCATTTTCCTTACGTTTCACACATGATTATAAAATGTTATTTTGTATTACATCACAAAATCATATTTTGTATTACATCCTCCTTTTGAAACTTAAGGGAATCACATAACGTCCATTACTCAGAGTCCTCAGGGAGCCGCTTCGATCCGTAAGCTACAGGCTCCGGCATAGTTAATTCCGGGCACTCTTCCTCCAGCAGCCGGTTAAACTCCCTCATGAAGTCCTCATAGCCATAGGAGGATATGAGGTCAGTGGACTGCACAGGTATTGGTTCCCCGGATTCAGGGGGGGCCACAGCATCGGCTACCATTGGGACCTCAGACTCAAGCATCGTAACGTTCATAGCCTCAGGTTCGGGAAATGCCATAGCCAAATCAGGGGACACATCATCTTCTATTGGAGCACACCAGGGCGATGGGCTCAGAGGCTCAGGGATCGGAGGTGTTGGCGATGGAACCGGGCCTCGGAAGTTAAGGTGAGGTTCTTCATCCAGCTTAGGCATTGGCTGGACAACTGAAACCTGCCTCTCAAAGTTCATTGAAATGTCCATGGAATCATGCCTCACCCTCTTAGCAGGGGCGGGGTAAGGATAGCCCCTGGCCTTTTTATCAGCAAAGGGATAAGACGAATCCCTTGGGCTCCTCTCGGGGTAGACGCGCCCTGGTCCATGCCGTCCCTCAGCAGCCAGCATCCGGAGAAGTTCTTTACCCAAGTTTCCATGGATACCGTCACAGTCCCTCGGCTTCTTAACCGGGGATTTTCGTTGAAGTTTCGGCTTAACATCGCTAATCAGATTGCGGGATCCCCTTGGCTCCTTAGTAGAGATGAACCCGTGGAAGTCTCCTGACCTCCCAGCAGGGGCAGTATGAGGGGAGCCCCTATTCTTCTTGAGCGTTGCCTCCCATTTACGAGCGGCTCTCCTCGGGTCTGTGGCTCGCTCGATAGACCTGGCTCTCCTCAGTTCGATTGCATGCTCCACAGGTTCAGTCTTGTATAGTGGGGGGCCTGCCCTAGCATGGGCGTCCCCTAGGGCCGACAGCTCCTCAGCTCTCCTGGCAGTAGTGATGATCAGGTGCCCGTTGTAGGCGTTGATCCCGCCCGCAGTGATGTGGTCTCTCCACGCCGGTCTACCTCTGCCCTGGTAATCAAGTGGGCCCTCAGACCAAGGTAGTCCCACCTTGCTTGTAAGGACAGAGGGCAAGCACACCAACTGCCCGTGCACCATCACAGGCCTCAGCTTCACGGTGCAGTCCGATCCTCTGGTCATGCTGCACCGCCGGATTGGTCCCTGTAGAGCACGACCGATGTTACCGCCTTCGTGCTCCAGATCAGCAAAGGAGCAGCTTGGCTCCTCATGCGCCGTGAAGATGCGTTGTCCTCTCAGCGTGAATGGCTCCTTCGTCTTCCAGTCCATCAGTCTCAGCTCCACCAGCTCCACCATGGCTACGCCCATCAGATCTTTGCGTATAAGGCTTTGGCCCTCCTTAATCACTGTCAAGCCAAGGTGACCAGGATGCCAATGCAGGTCACGCTCCACTAATGAGTATGGCAGGCCCTTACTATCTAGGCTCATAACTACACATTTGAGCCCTTTCTTAGTTTTTACAAGGATACCCTTGGTTTGCACAAAGGTACCTTTAAATCCCTCCTTCTGAAGCCTATTGCAAAGAACAGGTTCCTCCTGCATCAATGCAATAGCCTTCCTGGAGCTATGTGGCTTGATATTAACCCACTTTTGGTACTTCTTTTCAATTTGCGCTCTCATTGTAGAGGAGAAAGCTCCGGTCGGATGGCTCTCCAATCGAACCCTTTTCCCCAAATGAGATGGTTTGATATCTATATCCAGCCAATACATTTGTTCTGTTGGCTGTCCGATAACTCTTGTTCCCTTGGGGATGTTATCAAAGGTGAGAGTGGAGATTCGTTTCCCCATCTGTAAGGTCAATTTGGATATAATTAGTCATGTTTCCAAACCCTACCCTATCTCTCGTCTCCCCGGGGATTCTATTTCTATTATTTTTTTTTTCCTTTTATCTATTTATTTATTTATTAATCTTCAATTTTTATACGCTTGAAGACTCGCGCCTAGGCGTAGTCAACCTAAGGCTTCCGGAAAGCTGTCTTTTAAGTGGAAACAGGACCCTTCTATAGGCCACTCCCACTATATACCCTACATATCCATACATGATAGGGTGAGTTGATATTCCACAGCCGACCATCACTGCCGTTAATGCCAGTGTGATCAGCCATTGAGCCCCTAAATTTAGACAAGCCCTTCTGTTCTTTCCTTTCAATTGCAGGAAAAACCAGAAAAGCGCTATCAGACCTAAAATTAAGTATATCACCAGCCCTACAAGCTCTGCAGCCAAGGCACTGTGCAGGGCTTGATCTACAACTCGTTCTAGAAGTGCTGTGTAAACCGCACCGAGAGCATAAATTGAAAGTATCATCATCCACCACCGATTAGTGTTAATCGGTAGTGGCAGATGAGCCAGAAACGCCAATACAATCTGAGTGTGAATGGGACTAATGCATAAATACATCAATCTCACCACTCCCGTTCCTATGACTAACGCGGAGGTCATTGCCACCCTAATCCAGCCTACATTCTTCTCTCTAGGTAACAAAGTCAGAAGGAGGATTAGAATTCCCAGGGAGATTAGCTGCCATGATTCAGTCATAATTACCGAGGATGTACAGCTAAGTCCCAGGGTGAAGTTGGTGAAGCCAGCCATGGTTCTTGGAGCCGTCCGTGGATGAAGAGATTGGTACAGCGCGGCAGGTGGTTTCTTCCAGAGAAGAATGACCAACCCCTCTCGCGTCCCTTCTCTTATACCCCTAAACAGGCTCCTCCCACCATCGGTGGCATCGCCCCCTCCTCCTCCTTGACCGCTAATTTCCTTATAAGGTCAACCGCTATTCTGGCTACCAGTATTGTCATAACTAATCTTAAGATAATGGTCTTATACCACCAGATTCTATCTATATTAAAATGCGACTCATCCGACTCCGTGTGCAGTTCTCCCAAGTAGTCCCCTGGGAGGCCGACCATCTGGGCCGAATCTTTCCATGTCCCTTCTTTGTTCATGTAGCGTGTCCAAACGACCCGCCATCTTCCCGGTCCTGCTTTGTGATCTTCCCGCTGGAGAACGCATTCCTCATTCGCGCCTGCCAGACAGCAATTTCTGGTAATTGAAACCAGGACCCAGTAGGACATCCTTCTCAAAGATTCTCCTCTGCACACCGTTCCGTTAATTACAGTTTCTCTGCGTTCATAGCTTTCAGTTTCATAATCGATAATCCCATATACAACTACTATGAGTAATGTAGCTGAAAGCACAATCAAATTCTTGTTGTCCCCGGTAGTTGGCTTCTTCACTCCTCTTTCCTTTGTTCCTGCAGTTGATTTCTTCATAGTCAAACCTGCATCAAAGGGTCTTTGTTACTCATGATATTTCTTCTTTGCTTCAATGTCTCTTTTCCTCTTTTTGTTTTCTTCTCTTTCTTTTTCTCTAGTATCTCTTCTCTCAACTCTTTAATTGTCTCTTTTAGGAGTCTGTCTTCTCTTCGCTGCCTTGCTTTCTTATAGGCCCGAAAGGGAAGCCAACAACACCTGAAGATATTGCAGGTTTTCTGTAGTATCCCTATTATTATCAATGTGACTATAACTACAACTATGCCTACGATCCAACGCCATGCATAGCTGAGCCAATCTATCAGCCACTCCCATGCTCCAAAGATGGCCCGACCAACTGTCTTAGCTGTTGTGACCACAGCTGTGGCCACCTCTGTAGCCACTCCATTTATCACGGTCCCTGTGGCAAATGTCGTTAGGATGGCTATTCCTTTTACTTGATTTCCTAATGTCCAGAACGGTGAAGTAATCATGGTATAATCACACTCGTGTAGCTTATAGAATTCGCCTTCGGATTTATATTCTGTTCCATTTCCACCGGACGTTTGTAGATGATTACATGGTATCCTTTTGTCTATATGGAAGGGATCTTCTTGGTGCACCTGGAGATGAGCATGCCACCTCCAATGCCCAGTCATTATACCCCAGTCTTCATGTCCCCGCAGCACTCGGGGAGCCATTCTATCTCTGATACAAACGTGTTGGGCGATATACTTCATTCTGTGGTACATCAGAGTCCCAGGATCAACTCCCTGAAGGTGTCCCACTGGTGCTGAATGATACGGCCAGTGAGCCACTCGATAATGTATTAACGGGTTCACACAGTTCTGTTCTCTGTTGATCAGGAGTTGTATTGCTGATGCGATGGCACTTGTGTCATTCACGAACTGTTGCTTTGTTTCCGCTATCGTAGTCCAGCCTTCGGCGGTCCAATTCTTTCGGTCAAGGGAGTGTATTTGCTCCCAATCGCTCATGTTTTTGTCTGGTATAAGCAGAGCTATAGGTTCACCATTTTTGCTCAAACTTCTTTCGCTATCGAATGTCAGGATTCTTTCTCTGAATTCTCTCTTTCCATCTCTTTCTTTCCATCTTAATTGTCTCCATTGGTCATCTGGTTGTACGGGGATTTTTCGAACGGCTATGTATTTCCTGGCCACCGTGACATGCATGGATCTCTCTGTTGTCCAGAGCACTGCCATATGGTGGGGAAAGGGCGACTGCATAGCTGACCTCCATTTCCAACCTTGATCCTTGACTAATCGTTTGATGGTGTGCAGTCTATCTGGGTGTAGGTACAGCGTTTTGTCCCACAGCTCCCATCCTTCAGTGTATGCGTCCAGGTTTCGCTGATCCTTCCTGTGTTCATCGTCAGGTGAAAGCATATGAGTTGTAACTACAGCTGCTTCTTTCGATAGCCATCCAGCGATTTGTATGGCTCCGGGATGTTTTTTAGTATCTGGATGTGGTCTCTCTACCCTCTGGAGGAATCTTTGATATGCCCAGGACATAGGGGTTTTCCTCATCTTAATTTGGGTCTCACAGGGAAACGCCCCGCATGGGCTGCCGGTATATGATGGTACCATTTTGCTAATTTCTCCGAATTGTCCTACTTAGATTGTTTAGATTGTTGAGAGTGCATCTTCCCACATGCTTTTCCGCTTCTGTGGTTTCCACCGATCTCTTCCAGCGGTTTCTTGTCACAGTGGTTTTCTCCTGGTTCTTCTCCCACCATGATTGTTCTAATTCCTCCTGGCTTGTTACTGCCAGTAGTTCTTGTTTGGCAATATGATAGGGTAGTTCTTCTTTGGGGAATTCTCCTGTTGTTCTCCAGGTTTCATGATTTGTCCAGTTCTCAAACGTCTTCCAATCTTTTTCGTTGATATATTTTCTTACTGGAATGTTCAGTACTGTTCTTTCGTCGACTTTGTGGCATGTTTTATGCAGGCTGTATAACGGTTCCTGCATCTCCCATCCTTCTCGAATTTCTTGGTGCAGTGCTGTATATATGCAGTCTTTTATACCCGTCTCGTACATCAATCCTGTGAGATCAAGACTCCATGCTTCTTCTCTTAGCAGCACTTTAGTCACTTGAAAGGACGATCCGTCCGTTCCAAACTTTTTCTCATAGGATTCCCACGTGGACAAGTGAGCCTCGGAGTATCCAAGGTGCGCTGCTCGACAGGCCTGTCGATATGCTTCTTCGGACATTTCTTTTAGAACTTCCATCATGGATCTTTCACAGCAAGGGCCCTTGAAGGGGATCCATTTGATGGTGCAGTTATCGACCTCCGGCGCAGGAAACTCCAGGTTACATGTATCTTGTGTTCCCGGCGTCTTCTTTTCTCGTGCTCCTGGAAGGTCTTCTGTTGTTGCGTTCATTTTTTCTTTTTCTTTTTGATCTTGGGCTGCCTCTCCTAACCATACTTGTGGATTACAGGTCCCTCTGATTCCTATTCTTATCACTAGAAATCGTATTGCTCCTAGAATGTATTTTCCCTGGTCGAAGGCCAAAGCCTCCCCTGTTCCTATTGGTATGGGATATCCTGGTTCTATGTGTGGGGTTATTATTGTGCAATTTTTACATTTTATGATTTTTTGTCTCCAGGTTGCCCTTTCTGCCCCCGTATCGGGTATTTTACTTATCACATGGATAAGGGCAGAGAGTAATGCTATTATTATTATTGCTATTATAACTCTAATTATGGTACTAGGTTTCCTAAGCTGTTTCAGTTCTTTCTTGAATTTTTGTCTGTATTTTCTCCTCTTTATATCTTTCCTAATTATTTCCATTGCATCTCCTCCTAGGGTATCTTCAGCAATGTCTGCTTGTGCCAGTGCTAACCTAGCTTGGTTGTGGTACCATTTCTTGTACCACCATCTATTGATTTTTTCTACGGCAGACAATCCCATAGCTTTTCCTGGAAGGAAGGAGCAGAACATTAATTCATGTTACTTTCCCCCTCTGCTCCTTGCTTCCCCCTATCTCCTAAACTCGATACGCCTAGTTGGGATGACTCTTTTTCCACCATGCCGACTTGCTGACCCTTGGGCCTACTTCGAGGGCATCGCTATTCTCTGTATTAATCAGATTTTCTCTAATCCAGAGTTTGACCCCTACAGCTATCAGGTTAATTCCTAATTCTGCTCCACTCATCCATTTATCTATGTATTGAGCACGGTCCAATGATGCCAGAGACAGCATCTCCACTGCACAGTGCAGCAGCTCTGGACCCGTCGGGGTCTGTACATTACTAGACCTTCTCTTAATGGTTACGACCATGGGGGACAGTGGCTTCATCGTTCCTGTTGTGATCCAGTCGATCCAATCAGGCCTTACACTCGGTGGAGCCCAACTCATTACCCCATGTCTGTCCAGTTTCTTACTGTCACACGTGAGTTTAGCTGTCTTCTTAGCGTGCACTCCCATTGTGGTCAAAGACCATTTGAAAGTAAGAAACCTATTCCTCTTTCTAATTGGATGAGTTAGAGCAATCTGCAGGAAATTTAATTTATCAAACGAATTAAATCTATTCCAGTGTCTATGAGCCAGCAGGCCAGCCAGTTCCAGCCTGGGCGTCCCATTCGGGGAGCAGATCCGAAACCCACAGTACGGATCTGCCCGGCACCTGCAGGGATCCTCGTGAGAGTCCTGTCTGGTCGCGAGGGTTTGAGCTCCAAACTTCTCCCAGCATTGGGAGCAGAATGAGACTCTGCAGGCTCCAGCCAACTCGACTCCTTCATCCTTATCAGGTTCTTGATGATCACTTCTCAAATTCCTAAACCTTCTCTCACCCTCCCATAGGAGGGTGAACACTTCAACGTGACAAAGGCAGCAGCCCCCCGGCCTGTAATCTCTCCAAGATGGTTCGGCACTCGGCGGTTGACCCGGGTAGATCACCCCTACCTTGTGCCGGCCAGATGGATGACATTTCAGGATTACCAGGCCCATGGTCAGGTAGGCCTGGTCCGGTTCGGCCTGGTGAGAACTGTTTGGGTCCTTTTTTGGGCCATCAGGAACTGTTTTACCAGCTCTGATAACCTCTGAGGAACTATCGCTCCCCTGCTTCTCTACACCAAGTTGGGATCCCCATTTCAGCATTCTAGTTTTGACTGACTGAGGGGCCTCTGTCTGGGGCCCCTTGCTTGAATCGAATTTGTTTCGGATGGACTTTCCTGCCATCTTTTACTATGACCACGTTACCGGTTTGCTTTTTAATTTCTAAAACTTCTCTCGCGTCCTTAGTCCACACCTGGTCGCCTTCCTGCAACACAGGCGGGAGCTCGTTAGTATTACGGTTTCTCGCACGCAATTTTGGCTGACTCACGTACATGTTTATCTGGTACAATTTGTGTGGCTTGCACCAGTCTTTCCCGTATATACTAATTTGTTCTTTCGCTGCTCTAACCGCGCGTTCAGCGACACCATTTGTGTTGGACTGATAAGGGATACTGAGGACATGCTTGATTCCTAGTTCTTCCAGAAAGGTTTCAAACTCCCCTCCTGTGAACATAGTTGCATTATCTGACCTAATCGAAGTTATTGTGGGATTACCTTGTAAGTAAGATAACACACATTTCTCAGCCTCCTGCTGACTTTCTCTTTTTATAGGGTATACTCTTGTATTTCCACCTCCATTGTCGGCTATTACCAGGAATTTACTGTTATTTTTCCTTTTATTCGTCAAATGACCTACGTCCATGGACGCAGATATCCCCGGCTCGTCTTCAATTATGGGCAATTGCTTGTATTGTAGAGGGGGTAGATTTCCCTTCCGGGCGCAGACCTCACAATTGTTTCTCAGTTCCCTGAGTTTTTCGTTTAACCCTGCCGTTGATATCTCGTTTTCTTTCATCCACTTAGTCATCCTCTCCACACCCGGGTGGCATAGGATGGAGTGAATGTGACGCAAGTATTTATTCTGGTCTTCGGTTGGTATCGTTACCACTCCTTTCTCATTGGACCAACTAGAGGGCATCAGTAGTCGTTCAACTCTGAGGCCTCGGAGTTGGACCAAATGATCCACTAGCCTGTTGCCCTCATGCTCGAAGGACTTACCATTTGTGTGACTATTTACATGATCTATCCAGATCGTAACTTTCTGAAGCAGTTGGGCTACCACTATCCACAAGTCCTTGTGGCCTAACTCTTGTCCTTTATAATTCTGATATTCCCTTACTTTCCAGTATTTCAAGTTTTCCCTAACTCCTTGAACCACATACCAACTATCTGACACTAGTCTGCACTTCTTAATTTTCCTCTTTTTGAGCCATTGCAAGGCTTTTACAAGCGCTATCAGCTCGGTTTCCTGAGCTGTTTCGCCTTGCTTTCCTGTCTGTTGGTATATTTGCTGTTGTTCCTTATACACAACAAATCCCCATTTTCCTATCTCATCTTCCTTGGTCATGCTGCCATCAGTGAAGACAGTGTAAATCCCGTCCCACTCTGGATCTTGCATGGCTTTTTCTTTTGGTATTTTATTGCCAATGATAACTATCTTCCAATTAGGATCTTGTAGCATCATGGCCCATTTTCCCCATCTGGCTTGATACGCTTTGGAGAATTCAATCGTCTCTTTAGACATTTCTTTGGTCAATGGATGTTCAGTCCTAACTACCACTGATCTCTCGCCTATCATGTTCCTTAATTCTCTGTACGCCTTCCACAGGAGTAGGATTTCTTTCTCTACGTCATTGTATTTTATTTCTGTATTTGAGAATCTGTGCGAGTAATATGAAAATGGTTTATCTGAGTCCTGCTCCGTAGCAGAGACCCAGCCACCTTCACATGACACCTGTGTGTCAAGATATATTGTACCATGACCTACACATGGTGCGAGGGACCTTGCCGTATTTTTTAGTTCAGTCAAGGTCGACTCCCACAATTTGATCTCCTCTGGGCTAAGCTTTCTGTCTGCTTCAATCATCCTTTTCCTGGACGTGTCCCACCTCCTAAGGCCTAGTTTCAGTTGTTCAACTGGTCTTACAACAACTGGGTATCCCGGGATTGCTGCTCTGAGCCACCCAGTTTTCCCCAGTGCTGATTCCAATTGCTTAATTGTCAAAGGCCTGAGATCTCCTAGGTATCCTTCTATCATTTTCACTCCGTCAAATCCCACTTGCATTCCCAAGTATTTCACGCTGGAAACCCCGATTTCGCATTTTGGTATACCTATTTTCATCCCTGAATCTTTCAACCTAGTGACTATCTGATCCAGGAGGACTAGGTGTTCTTCCTCAGTGTCCGAGGAGAAGAACAAATCATCTATATACACATTCACTGGAAGTCCTTCCAGCATTTTCTCCATTCTATCTTGAAACGCATTGGGACTATTACAAAATCCCTGTGGCAATCTTGCCCAGCGATATCCTTTACCTCTCAGCATAAAGCACGTCTTGTATTGGGATTCTTCTGCCAATGGCACACTCCAGAATCCGTTTGCTAAATCTATTGAGCTGTTAAATCGCTTTGGTCTGAGCGACATCATTGTTTCGCGCGGGTTGACTATCTGTCTCGTATCCTTTACCGTGACATCGTTTAGTTCTTTCAGGTGATGTACCGGCCTTACTGTGCCATCTTTTTTGGGCACGGCCTGTACTGGCATGAGACAGGGGGGTTCAGGAGTGGGTATGACTACCCCTAGTTTGACCAATTCCTTAATTATTTCTTCAAATTCCTTTTCAGCAGGGCCAAGGGGGTACTGTCTTGACTTGCCAGGCATTCCTCCTCTGATCACATATGGCTCTGTCTTCATGAACATGAGCCGAGGTGGTTGCGATGACTGTCAGTATCCTTTTTCCGATGACAGCCCACGTATCCTCCGTTGCGTCTTCGTCTTCCGGCTCGTCTAGATTAGGCATTGGGGCTATCGGTACCCTATCCTGCTGTACTATAGACCTTGCTCTCTGAGCGATATTACTTGTGCCCGTAACTTGGGTCTGTGCATCCCTACTCTGCGTTTTTCGGGTGAGACGAGGTTGCCTCGCCGCGGAGGGCGTGAACGGGTCCTCCCTCCTAGCCTCCGGAGCTGGCGGGGTTTGCTTCAGAATTCTATCAATGTTTGCACATTCCTCAGCCATCCTACTAAGTTCATGTACAGACTCCTCGAGTAATGTACTGTATCTTCTAGACTTTCCCGATGTCATAGGTAATTCCCTATAACTGTCCTCACTGTGTTGCCTCGAAAATTCCCTAACCGGGCGGTCCTCGTCGTCTCCTATGGGGTTCTCCTCTATATCTTCATCGGATTCCACTATTTCGTGGCCACTATCTATTTTGTTAGCGCCCGATGGGCTTTCCTCTTCTTCATCAGAGCCATCACTATCCTGATCATCTGGGTCCCCGAATGCGGTCCAGGTGCTTCCTGAGCTCCCCGAATGCTCATTCAGCGGCACTATGCTAGGTATCTCCCCTCGAAGGCGGGGATACATGCTTGCGCGAATCGGCTCCCACGATCGTTCATCATTTCTCTCGCAATCCTCCATTGCAGGGGCCGTGGGAGCTGTTATTGCATTTACTATACTATTAGCTTCCTTCGCTATAGCTGACACGGGCGTCAGCCCACTAAGTTCCTGTAGCTGTTTTGTAAGTTCTACAAGCTCATCGTTTTGCGCATGAGGGTAGGGCGGAGGATCAGACCCTCTTGGTATGTCCTCTAGCCCTACTGGATGGGTCCTCCTATCGTCCCCGGGGTCCCGCAGCTCATACGCGTCTTCAACGCTATCTAGGTTATACATGTCTGCAAGTCTATTGAGAGCGTCGTTGTATTTCTGCTCTGAATTTAGAATCCATATTATAGTTTTTCCCGTTCTAGGTAGCTTTGCTAGCCACTCAACCCCTGCTTGGGCCATGCACCCTTGTGCCATATCTACGGGGTATCGGTACTGCCCGTCACCCCATGTGGTCACAATGGCGTCCCTAGTTGTTAGTTTACCAAACGAGCGCCTTAGGATTCTTCTTAGCTTTTCTTCATTAAGCATTGGGAGTTGTTCATCATCATATGGGTTATAATACCCGTTCGCTAATTTAACTATATTACTATGACCAACTTCGTCCTGATGGACCGCGTCTATTGAGCAGAATCCCTCAGGCCAACCTTCCTCTGGTTTGGTTTGATGAACCATTTGCATTGTTTTGGGGAAATGGGTAGCAACCCATTTTGCCACTCCTGCCCCATCTCTACCTTGTGGGTTGCGTGGGTTAAACAGGGTAGCATCCCTGGTTACCATTGAGTTTATAAATTGATGTCCCAGGTCACACCTTATCAGTTTCCAACTTCCTATTTGATGCATTTTAGGATTGAGCGTTCTTCACGGTGGGTTGATGTCAATTATGTCAGTCAGTCCGCCCGTAGACATTCTTCGGGCTTGGGTTTGCATGAAGCTGGGGAGTTCATCCGCCATAGTTATATCAGACTCGTGACTCTATCTAATTACTACGCAGATATGTTTTTCAGGGATATTCTCAACCGTCCCCAAGGCGATTACTACACGACACGGGCGTGGATTTTAGGGATATTCTCAACCGTCCCTAAGGCGATTACTACACGACACGGGCGTGGATTTTAGGGATATTCTCAACCGTCCCTAAGGCGATTACTACACGACACGGGCGTGGATTTTAGGGATATTCTCAACCGTCCCTAAGGCGATTACTACACGACACGGGCGTGGATTTTAGGGATATTCTCAACCGTCCATAAGGTGATTACTACACGACACGGGCGTGGATTTTAGGGATATTCTTACCGTCCCAGAGCAGTTAAAGGGATATTCTTACCGTCCCAGAGCAGTTAAAGGGATATTCTTACCGTCCCAGAGCAGTTAAAGGGATATTCTTACCGTCCCAGCGCAGTTAAAGGGATATTCTTACCGTCCCAGCGCAGTTTTTCCCGGCGCAATGCGGGTAACTCTCTTATCCACTATTCCTGGATAAGGGAGGCAGGGCCAGAAATCCCCACTGGGTTACTGCGTCACACCTGCCAGTAACCGTATTTTGAGCTCAGATTGTTCAGTTAGGGTCCTCCTGTCCCCTGGCGCGGCTTGTATAGGTGACCGCCTATACGCCTTTTAGGTCACGGCACAGTGTATCCTACTCCTGGTTGATCAGGTCAGTTTCGGATAGGGCCGCTACTGTTAAGCCTGATAGGACAGAATTCTCCTCAACCGTTTCTGGTAGCCAATTTCACGCTTCCTCCCTGACCGGCGGTACTTACGGGCACACGTTACAAGGTTTTACGTCCAATGCCAGTGGCTTATTTTGGTATCAGACTGGCTGCGCAGTGTTTCCTCGGACAACACTGTTTTCTATTTTCACGGATTTTCTAATTCGCAACGCTTCCTCCCCGGCCGACGGCACTCACGGGCACACGTTTAGAATTTGCAGGACCGACTCCTGACCGGCGGTACTTACGGAGATTTTATACAACGCTTCCTCCCAAACTTCTAGCGCTTACGGGCACACGCTGCATTTTAAATGTTTGGGTATTTCTTTTATTTTTATTTTTATTTTTACTATATTTTTAATTTGAGGGCAATCTTGCCAAGGTACCAATGCGTTAACCTTACAGTATCATACCTGTCGGTGTGGATTGGATCTTAGTCAAGTCCCTGTTCGGGCGCCATGTTATCGGAGCGAGTGAGGAACCAGCATCTCTTCAGGATCTAACCCTAGGAGGCGCCTTTACCTTGCTCTATAACGCAGACTCCCTAGTAGGGCCTGGCTTTCGGTAGCGCTAGTCCCGACCTGCCTCGTGCTGGGTCTAAGGCTAGCTAAGTTTTGTCCCTGCCTAACGTTTTTCCCCTTGGTGTGGCTAATCCGTAGAGAAGCAGAAGCTCTAGGTGCGATATACCAAAATCAGTCTACTTTTACTACTCACCTCAGCCTAGGGCCGCCCTGCCCTGTCCAAGCGTTCTTCAAAGAAGGTTTTCAGAAAGTGTGAAGCGGAGTCGGAAAGTTGTCTTTCGTGAGTCGGGACGACTCTTTTATTTAAAGCCAAGCAAGCAAATCGGCAATCCAAGTTTACAGAGTTACAAAGATCTCGCACCACAAGTCACTCTCACAAGGACCCCTGAATGAAAGCCTCCGGCTGCTCTCGTCTGCGCCGCGCGCTGCCCGACAGACTGACTCTCTCGGAGTCTTCCTTTTTATAGCGCATGCAGCCTTCAAGCAGCGGAAAGCCCCCTTAGCATTAAGGATGACCTCATTCAGGAAGTACATGTACATATATGGGCAAGGAAGGAAATGCATATATGGTCATGGCAGGAAGGATGTACATATTTGGTCCTCCTGCTTGTATGAACTGTCCCCCAGTTATTTGAACTTTCCCCTAGATAGCACAGAGGCTGCGCAGAGGAATGAACTTTTACCCAGTTATCTGAACTTTCCCCTAGATAGCACCGAGGCTGCGCAGAGGAATGAACTTTTACCCAGTTATTTGAACTTTGGCCCAGTTCTTAAGCATATACGATCCTTCCTTGCCGTGAACTTTAACACACTTAAATGAACTTTAACCTAGTTAGCATAATGTTACATAAATCACATTAAATCACATTACATTTTATCAAATCACATTACTGACCATCAGGATCACTATTTAACGCATTTTCCTTACGTTTCACACATGATTATAAAATGTTATTATTATATTATTATTTGTATTACATCACAAAATCATATTTTGTATTACAGGTTCGAATACTTTCGCAAGGTACTGTATCTGTTTAGCATTATTAGGATTTTGACTGTAGTTTGTTCGTTGCTATTCACCCGTTGTCCCATTGTCTGTTTCATGATACAATCACGGGACCTCTGAGGCTGGCCTCCTCAATCGAAACCTGCAGACTGCCCCGCCCGACCCGCCTGGGAGTGTTTCAGTTCTGCACCGGACCTGTCCACGTTCAGCGGCCACTGGTCCACGTTCTGTAGCTAGCTTAGGTCCTAGATCATTAGCCTGTCCGTCCAGAGGAGCGGATCCCTTTCTCAAATGGGTCTCCCTCCCTGTGGGTTTCCCTAGTTCTCCCCAAGGTTTCTCACTTTTTCCCACTGGGTTTTTTAAGAGTTTTTCCTTGTCGATGCAGGAGGGTCTTGTTGGACAGTTAGTGTCCAACAGAAAGGACTGGTGATGAGCAGGACACTTTAGCATTCTACAACATGTATGGACATTTTCTTCTGTGTGTGCTTTATATTCTTCATGTGTTTTAACTGTTGATTCTCTGACCTGTGTTGGTGATTTCATTGGTTTTGTTAAGTCCTCTGAGATGACTTCTGTTGTGACCTAGGGCTATACAAGAATAAATTGTATTGTATTGTATTGCATTGTATCGCATTTTCTGTTCCAATTGGCCTGTGGTGCAAAACGCCTGCACGGATGCCATGATCAACAACGCAGTCGGCCGGTTGGTGACCATAACCATCATCTTTATCCCCATGCTGTTCGTGCTCTACTCATACTTGCGGATTCTCATTGTGTGTAAAAAAGGCAGCGCTGAAGTGAGAGGGAAAGCTTTGCAAACCTGCGTCCCACATTTAGTGACGTTTGTGTCGTATTCCTTCTCGCTGTTTCTGGATTTGTCTCTGAGTCGCTTGGACACGAACAAAATCAACCCCATAATCACTGCTGTTATGTCCCTGGAGTATCTGCTGGTGCCTTCCATCAATAACCCGCTGATCTACGGACTCAAGCTGCCACAGATCAGGGTGGCCATCAGTCACAGGCTCAGGATCCGAGCCAGAGATGAGCGCTGCTTTTAGAACAGAAACACAATGCTTTATGACTCTCTCTCCATAACCCTCACCCTTATCACTCACTCACAGTCATAGCACTCACAGTCTAGACTCTGGACAGAGCAGTCGCATTCTCTCGCTGCTCCTCGCTTGCTGCTTTTTTATCTCCTTTAATCATTTTTGCTTAAATTTTTATTCCACAAAACACGGATTACTCCTTTTGCATACTTCAACACAAGACTTGTGGAATTTACCTAATTTACAGCATGCCGGGAGGACGGAAAAAAAGAACAAAACTTTGCGACGGCTGTTTTTCACTCAAACAGGAGCTAAAACTTCTTCAAGACAGAATGTCTGTGCTTGAATCAGAATTGGGGCTGAACACAACAATACCTGTGAAGGGAAATGGACCAAATGGACACAACGTAAGTTATGACGACGCTTTTTCATTTCCCAAAATCAAAAGAGACAGTTGTTGGAACACATATGGTGCCAAGCCCAAACATGGCAAAGCTAATGATAATGATGAATGTGTCATAATGCCACAGCAAAAATCTTTAATTACAAGGAACCGCTATTCACCACTTTTGGAAGATGAATCAGCAGAATCAGCAGTCTCATTCTCAGTCTCAGTCAAGGTCAAATGCAGCTGAGTCGCTCTTTATCTGGGATTCGGCGATTAGGAATGTAAACATGCGTAATCTCAAGGTTCACTCAGTACACTCGGCCAAAGTGGATGAGATAAGGCTCTTGGCTCCAAAGCTTTTGTCTGAGACCGGCGGGGTAAAAAGATTGTTGATCCACGTGGGGGCAGTAGACGTCTATGACAACACAAGTGAAAAGTTGAAACGGGATTATTCTCTGTTATTGGACGACCTTGCAAAAATGGACGTAACAATCGTTATCAGTGGCCCACTACCAAATGTGGACGGGAAGCAAATGAAATTTAGTTGTCTGTATCAGCTAAATACTTTCCTACTCAACGAATGTTCATGCAGAGGACTTGCCTTCATTGAGAATTTTAATCTGTTCTGGAATAGGCATGAGCTTTTTGAAGGGAAAGGGCCACATCTGAACACTTACGGAGTAAAAGTGTTGATGGATAACCTTTCTTTTGCCCTGAGACCTCAGCCTGCGCAGCGCTTGCAGCCATCGTAAGGGAGGAAGAGACTCCAAAAGTCTCTGCACCTCCACCACCTCAAAGGATCTCAACACCACCACCACCTCGAAGGATCTCAACACCACCACCACCTCGAAAGATCTCAACACCATCACCGCCTCAAAGGATCTCAACACCTTCACTGTCATCAGAAGCAGCTGCATCATCAACAGCAGCAGCTGCATCATCACCAGCTAGATCTAGAGTCCTGTCCAACATTCTAAACCACTCCCCATATGTACCTCCAAAACCACCTAGGGTTTCCAATTCACCTACAAAAACCACCTCAGCCAGTCCCTCCCCTGACCTCATGACCATTCCACCCCCACTTCCCCCTCGTTCAACACCCAAAACCTCTGCCTCAGCCCACCCCGGCCCTAACCCATCACCAAAAACCCCTCCACCTCCCTGCCCCCCTCGTTCAACACCCAAAAGCCACCCACCTCTCCATCCTCCTCCCCTGCCTTCCCCTTCCCCTCTTTTTCTCTAAACACTAGGATGCACAGGGTCTCTGCTTCGCAGCCATTGGCAGTCTAGTTAGAGGAGAGACCCGGCTGGGGCCCTGTCATGAAGCCACCTGTGCCATTCCCTTAGTGATAACACAAAGAATACATTACAGAAAGACATCTGGAGTTAATCAGTCTAATCTGGAAAATCTAATTCTTGTTCCGTGTAAGAATCAGCCGACCACCACCGCTGATCCTGGAACTTTGAAACTTGCTACGCTTAATGTCAGATCTCTTTGTAACAAGTCTTTTTTAATCAATAATTTTATTTGTTCTCATAATCTTGATCTTATGTTCATGGCTGAAACTTGGCTTGACCAAAATTCAGGAAATGCAGTTTTCATACACCACCAAATTTCAAATTTGAATCTGAAATACGGGAAAACAAAAAAGGAGGAGGCTTAGCTGCCATTTTTAGAGACCACTTTGTCTCCCATAGAATGTCTCTTGGGAAGTTTTTGTCATTTGAATATGTGTCTTTTAAAATACAACAATCTCCTCCAATACTCTTCATTGTCCTATACAAGCCACCGCAGTCATGTCAAAGTTTTATTGATAATTTTACTGAGTTACTTTCAGTTGTATGCACAGATTTTGATAGTTTGGTTATTACAGGTGATTTTAATATTCATGTGGATAATGTTGATGACAGAAATGCAAATGAGCTGCGTTCTGTACTTGAATCCTTTGATCTCACTCAGCACGTAAGTGGCCCCACCCACAGCAGAGGGCACACTCTAGATCTGTTAGTTACTAAGGGGGTGAATATTTCAAATGTAAACGTGGTCGATGTTGCTCTTTCGGATCATTTTGGTCTTTTTTTTGACATGTGTTTCACTAACAAACCACCAGTGGACTCTGCAACTGTTTGAAGAAGGCGCATAAATGAAAATACGAGTGATCTATTTATGGGAATGATAAACTTTGAGAATGCATCGTGTTCTACTGTAGATGAACTGTTTAACTCTGTCACCTCTAGTGTTTTGAATGTTCTGGAAACCGTTGCCCCTGTGAAGGTTAAAATAGTGAAAAATAAGCAGAAGGCGCAATGGGCTAAAGCAGACTCGGTCAGGGCACAAAAGAGAAAGTGCGGGAGGGCCGAGCGGAAGTGGCGCAAGTCCAACCTCCAGGTTGATTACGAGATCTTCAAAGATAAGTTGTGCGAGTTTAACCGGGTGTTACGTAGTACGAGAGAAATGTATTTTTCTGAAATGATTGAAGGCTGCAGCAACAATCTGCGTGTTCTGTTCTCAACAGTTAATAGATTAACAAACCCCCTGTTCAAATTCCATTAGAGCTTACTTCCAAAAGTAAATGCAATGAGTTTGCTAATTTTTTCAATGACAAGGTTCAAGGCATCAAAAACGCCATTGTCTCCAATCCACAGATAACCATCCAACAGCCGAAAAGGCTCTCTGAGCTAACTCACTTTGCACCTGTAAATGATCAAACGGTCCAAGAGATAATCTCCAGTTTGAGCTCCTCCACATGCAGCCTGGATGTACTACCCACTAGATTTCTGAAGTCTGTTCTGAGCAGTCTGTTACCTTCACTCACACAGATAGTAAACATGTCCCTTAATTCTGGAATATTCCCAAAGGCCCTGAAAATTGCAGTCATCAGGCCCCTGCTAAAAAAGAGCAGCTGGATGCTACGGTACTTAACAACTATCGTCCCATCTCAAATCTGCCATTTATGGGGAAAGTCCTTGAGAAAGTTGTCTACCTACAGCTTACTAGATTTCTTATAATCAACAACTCATTTGGTATGTTTCAGTCCGGCTTTAGACCCCACCACAGCACTGAGACTGCTCTCGTTAAGGTTACAAACAATATACGGCTGAACACTGACGCAGGCAAAGTCTCAATCTTAATCTTGTTAGATCTGAGTGCTGCCTTTGACACCGTCGACCATGAGATCCTCTTACAGAGATTAGAGGACTGGGTTGGCTTTACTGGAGATTGGAAACTGTGTCTCAGATCATATGGCCCTGAACTGTGGAGTACCACAGGGGTCGATCCTGGGACCTCTTCTGTTCAATCTCTACATGCTGCCGTTAGGTCAGTTAATACGGAGAAACAAAGTGTCCTATCACAACTATGCAGATGTTGCACTCTTAAATGACCAAACAACAATACAAAATAGTCTGTTTGCAACGTTTATTGTCCACGGTTCACAATCTCACTAGTACGGTACACTCACTAGTTCGGAGGTGGGCGTGGTTGACCTACATTTGTAGTCTAGCCCCCATTCATAAATACGCACATTTATTTATATGACTACTAGTGCAAATAAGTACGAAATATTGAAATAAATTAACAGTGAATTAACTTATTACATTACATATTATATTTGCATGAATTCATAAATTTGGAATTATTAAAAACACGAAATTGGATACATTTTAGATGGGCTACACCCTCCCCCACTAAAAATAGAAGTGCTCCCCATATCTTTTTTTTTTTTTCCTTTAAATATCCACAGTGAATAAAGAACAAAAAGATAACAGATAGGTAACAGGTAAGAATTACACTCTATATTGTACATTTAAATAGCTCTTAATTATTCTATTTAAAATGTCTTTCAACAATTAATCTCTTTATGGCATTGATTTCTAACTCTGTTTAGTCCATTTCAAATCAACGGGTGTATTAAAGTCCAGCGAAGAATCAGTGGGCCCCCCGATCCTCACAAAATGGGACAAGGAAAATACTTGTTTCACCCAACATAATGTAAAAACATCTTTAAACCATAACAATTTCCCTCTATTTGCTCTGTGCTTTTTAAACACACCAAGTTTACACAGTACTCAATATCCTCTACCGATAATCTACAACCGAAAGACCCTTGAATTTAACCCATTATTTACAATAGCCCTTCTAAATCTCGTCTAATACATTTGAAAAAGGATATGTGTAGGTTGTCTTGTAGTTCTCCTGGACACCATCGACTCCTCCCTCTCGAACCGAACAGCTCTGCAGCTCTCGAACAGACGGTGCACCTAGCTGCTCATAGGTGAACAGGCGTCTCGGCTGTCTTGCTCTCACTGATCTTCGTGATGCCTCTGGAACATTTACCGGCTCCTCTTCAGACTCTGGCGACGAGGGTTGAGGACCTTCTTGGGGCTCACAAACTCTCTCAGGACTTTCTGGAATGACTTCTGGCTGGCAAACAGGCGTATTTCTTCCTTCACCGTCTTCCATGTGCATCAGTTCCCTGGGTGCTCTTCTTGGGAGTGGGCAGACAGGATGTTGAGCTGTCCAAATGCTGAGTTCTTCCTCACTTGAGTCTTCAGTGTCGGCCGCTTCCGGTGCTGGATCGGATCTCCGGCTTCTCCCAACTCGAGCTTGGCAATGTGGTGGGCTAGGCTGAGGAACCTCGGTAAGCGGTTCTTCCACCAAGTAAGGACAGGGTAATAAGAGATTGCGGTGTAACACACGTCTTCTTCCCGCTCCTTGCAGAGGCTCAACAGCATAGACTGGACTGTCTGGACCTCTCCGCTCTTTGACCACATAGACAACCTCCTCCCAGTAGCTCCGCAGCTTTCCCTGGCCACCTCTCGGAGTCAGATTTCGAACCAACACATGGTCACCAGGCTGTAGGGAAGAACTCCATGCGCGCTAGTTGTAGCCTCGCTGACCTCTTCTGGCCGACTTCCACATGTTCTCCATAGCTATAGCATAAGCCTGCTGCATGGCCTCTTTCCACTTCTCTGCATATGCCACTGGAGACAGATGTTCTTTCTGCAGCTTCCGAGGAATGAGAAGATCAATGGGAAGAGTAGGCTCACGCCCAAAGAGGAGGAAAAATGGAGAAAATCCTGTAGCTTCATGAACAGTTGAGTTGTATGCATGGACTACTTTACTCAGATGTTCTTTCCAGCGTGTCTTCTGAGTGTCAGCCAGTGTTCTCAACATACCCAACAACGTCCGATTAAAGCGCTCTGCCGGGTTTGACTGTGGATGGTAGGGCGATGTACGGCAGTGCTTGACCCCAGAGTAACTCTCGAGCTTGCGGAAGAGCTGGTTTTTGAACTCTCGTCCCTGGTCATGATGGATCCTAGAGGGGAAACCAAAGCGTAAAATGAAATCATCAAAGAGTTTTTTGGCCACCGTTTTACCAGACTTATCTCTTGTGGCATAAGCTTGCGCATACTTAGAGAAGTGATCTACCAACACAAGGATATACTCTTCTCCTCCACTGCTCTTCTCCAGATGCAGGAAGTCAACAGAAACCATCTCAAACAGGGCACATGTTTTTATACTTTGAATTGGCGTTCGAGTGACTCTGTTCGGCTTCTTTCTCTTGAGGCAGCAGCAAACACTTGTGACATGGTGTTCAATGTCTTGTCTCATCTTGGGCCAGAAGAAGCGTTCACGAGCCAAGGCCACAACTCTGTCTCCTCCTAAATGTCCCATGTCCTCATGTAGATGCTTGTAGATGAGAACTTTCATGGACTCTGGAACAACTAGCTGGGTTCTGCATGCCGTTTCCCTCCACAGAATACCATCCTCATCAACATGCAGACGGGGCCATTCTCTAAGCAGAAGTCGGACTGGTGAGCTCTCTGTCACTTTTTCTTTGTACTTTAGGTGAGTATTGTTTTGTTTCAGAACCAAGACTCTGGCAATGGCTGGATCAGTTCTTTGGGCTGCCTTGATGTCTTCGGCTGCCAAGGGCTGAACTGGGGAGGCAACACTGACCTCTGCTGGCAGAGCATCAATATTACAGGTGACAGCTGAAATCCAATTTACCTCACCTCTGCTCTCTCCTTGCATGCCCATTCCAATGCTCTGAATGTCTTCTTGGTGGCACTCTTCTGAGCATTCCTGAATGATTTTGTGAATGGGTTTGGGTCTTGACAAGAAGTCGGCGTCACGGTTAGCAGTTCCTGGCCTGTATTTGATTGTGAACCGGTAGTCTGCCAACTCTGCGACCCATCGATGTCCTGTGGCATTGAGCTTTGCTGATTTAGTGACATAGGTGAGGGGGTTATTGTCACTGTACACCGTAAAGTGGGGTGCATGGAAGAGATAGTCCCGATACCGCTCTGTAATAGCCCACTTTAGAGCCAAAAACTCCAGTTTTCCCGAATGAAGTTTATAGTTTTTTCAGCGGTCGATAAGGTCCTGGACCCATATCCAATAACTCTGAGAACTCCCTCTTGTCTCTGGTATAGAACAGCTCCAAGTCCTTCTTCGGACGCGTCCACATGCAAAACGAAGGGTTTCTCCAGGTTGGGGTAGGCCATCACCGGTGGATTCGTCAGCTGATTGACAAGCTTTTGAAGTGCTTCTTGGTGAATTGTAGTCCACTGCACTGCATGTGATGGAGAAAGCTGAGATGACTGACGACCGGAGGGCTTCCTTTGCAGGCTTGTTCCTGCTGACTTCGGCATTGAGAGAAGCTCATACAGGGGCTTTGCTGTTTTTGAGAAGTCTTGGACATAGGATCTGTAGTAACTGAGGAATCCCATTAACTTTCTCACCTCTCTGACTGTAGAAGGCGTTTCGTTTTGAAGAGCTTTGACCGCTTCTGCTTCCTTGGGGTTCATTTTGTATCCCTCAGCTGAGATGATCCGGCCCACATAGCACACTTCCTGTTTAAAGAAGTCACACTTTGTTGGTCTAAGTTTAATGCCAGATTGTTTTTGTCTTTGCAGCACTTGTCTTACATTGTGTAAATGCTGATCAAAACTGTGACTAAAGACTAGGACATCGTCCAGGTAGGGGACACAAACTTCATCCCTCAAATCACCGAGACAGCTTTCCATGTAGCGTTGGAATGTGGCGGGGGCATTTGTGAGTCCAAACGGAATCCGTACCCATTCATAAAGTCCCCAGGGTGTAATGAAGGCCGTAGATGGGCGGCTCTGCTCACACACAAATCCCTGATGGTATGCCTTGCCTTGATCCAGGACAGTGAACCATGAGTTACCCCCAAGATTTTCCCAAATTTCCTGGATCCGGGGGATGGGGTGGCGATCAGGCAAAGTCTTTTGGTTTAACAGTCTGTAATCCACACATAGACTGAGGGTTCCATCTTTTTTCCGGACACATACAATAGGTGACGAATAGTGTGAACATGATTTTTGAATCCACCCTCTACTCAGCAGATCTTGAATATGTGACTTTACTTCCTGGTAGAGATGACGTGGGATAGAGTTATAAGACCTTTGGACTGGGACGTTGTCTTTTAACTGAATGTTCATTTGAAGTTCTTTAATACATCCAGTGTCCCAATCGTCCTTGGCAAACACGTGGCTCTCCTCTCTCAGCATCTGCTTGACTTTATGCTGCTGTTCTGGAGAGAGATGGCTCAGGTCCACAGGTGGATCCCATAGTTCCCCTTGTGACACCTCCCATGCACCCTGAGTTGCGGATGCCGTGCTGCCCTGTTCCTGCTTGGGCTCCAACGGGCACACACTTTCAACACAATGCAGCCAGCCTAGCGTTGTACGGCCACACATTGTAATGTCTCTATTTTTTTTGTATTTTCCACAGCCACAGTAACTCGTGTCTTGTCTTGAGGGAACATGACAAGCTGCTCTCTCACCTTAAGCCCACTTGGCCATGGAGCTTCTGGGTTGGGCTCCAGCAGAGAATGAGCACCGCCCCAGTGTCCTTGTCCACAATAAATGTTCATAGTACTGTTTTTGGGGATAGTGACAGGTCGTCGGCTAAGGCGAGCAATGTGGGGGTTATTTTCGGGCGTGTCCCGCTTTAACACTGATAGAACAGCATGAGCAGTGCGACGACCAACTTCAAATGCTGAACAGAGTCTGTGGACCATGTGCCCCACTGGATTACTGTTTCCTGCAGTGTCACTAGTGAGAGCCAACTCCTCTATAACATTGAAACCAACGATGGGGCGCTCAAGGTCACTGCTGGCTACAAGGACAGGAACGAGAACAGACTGCTCACTCATTCCCGGGACAGCTTTGTTGGCCAACTTAAACTCTACTTCAATCCAACCTTCATAGGGAATCTCTGTTCCATTTGCAGCTGATAGATCCAGTTCCCCATCTTCAAGAAGCTCAGCCACTGGTCTCACTGGGACATGTGTCAAGTATTTATTTTTCCAGTCCACTCCAATAATAGACACCTGTGAGCCACTGTCCCACAACACAGTTGTATCCACTTCATTTAATGACGCTCTGACCAGGCATCTTCGTCCAACTAGCTTAGCGGTTTGTCTTTGCTTACTAGTGAGAGGGGCAGTCTGGTTGAACTGGGCATCAGTCTTACCAAGATGTACCAAAGTGTCAATTTTATTAGACGAGGCTGAAACATGAGTGACTTTACGACAGCCAATTGCCCAGTGATCAGAACTGCCACATTTATAACAGTGGTTACACTTGCCTTGAGGATTGGTGGCCTGGCAATGATGACACCTTCCCGGGGGTCTTTGATTGTGCCTGAAGTTCCTGCCCGGCGGGTGGCTAGATCCATGTGGTGGGGGTCTTTGAGCTTGATGGAGGCTAGAGAGCTGTGTAGACAGTTGTTGTATAGCCTCACAGATTGCTTTATTGCCTTGATCCACTTTTTCCAGTAAAGTCTCACGTTTGGGGGGCTCACTGGGCTTGTTATTGTTGGATGATGGGGCTGTGCTCTCCCTGTTGTTAATAGTAAAGTCCTCCCCCACTGCAGAAACTCTCACTGCTCTTGACTTGGATGCTAATTTGCTCTTTCGTTCCATTTCCAGTGTGTATGCATCTGTAACTTTCTCCAACAGCACTTCATCAGACACATTTGAATCTCGTAGATATGGCTTTAAATCAGTTCTTATGGTGTCGTCAATCAGCCCCGTAAGTACAGTCTGTAAGAATTGATTTTTGATTAAATCCGGGCTGTATTTGAGTCCACTTTCTGCCCTTTCGGATGCAAATAAAATTTGCTGTCTTAAATCCATTGCTCTGAGCACAAACTGAATTGGTGTCTCCCTGGAGTCCTGTGCTGCTCTTGTGAGAGTGTGATACAGTTCTGTAGAGTCCCTTTCGATAAAGTGAGTCCTCAGAATTTGTCTTAAAGCACTAAGAGGTAAGTCCACTCTGCTTTCAAGATAACTTTTTAATTTTATTCCTGGTGTAATAGCATGAATTACAGCATCCACAATGTCCGACTCACTGTAACCTTTATTTAGTGCTTTCTGGATTTGCCTCTCCAAACTGGAATATCCAAGTTTGTCTTTTTGATGTGGTTCACCAATCTGTCCCATTATCTTTAGTTCTTTTCTGTACAATTGGTGCACAAATGGTGGGTTGGCATTAAATGGAGGCACAGTCATAGTCACATTAGAAACAGCACCTGGATTATTGGGTGCAGCAGACGCACTTTGGTTATGTGATGCAGTACCTGCCGTATCCAGCAGAGGGGGAACTGGCGCAGCGGGAGTGGGTGAGGATACACTCTTTAATTCATCAATGCGGTCAGTAACCATGAGCAACAACGATAATCCTTCATCCTCGAGCGCGACAACATCTTCTCCTTCCAGATTCTGTATGATAGTCCTTCTCATTGCACGAGGTAAGGTCTTGTCCTCTTCACTCACAGATGCTCCCAAGATTGTACAAAGATCATATAAATCCGCAGCAGACAAAGTCATTCGATTTTCCTCAATCTGTCCCATTGCATTCTCCCAACTCTCCGACATCTTCCGACTTGTAGTAGACATAATTTGTAAATGCTTTTACCGTAGCGTACAGGTAAACAGCTTCAGTCTTAGTGAGTGCGCTGATGCGCTCATGGCCTGCAGCTGGTGGCTTGTAGCGTAAACTCCCAACTCAGCTCTTTTACAGAACAGCGTCGTTCCCATGCGATCTCCAAACCGAGCAGAAACACCAAGATTCGTGTTGCACTCTTAAATGACCAAACAACAATACAAAATAGTCCGTTTGCAACGTTTATTGTCCACGGTTCAGAGGCATATTTGAGGCACGCAGGGTGACAACATCATGAACGCACCTGTCAACACTCACTAGTTCGGAGGTGGGCGTGGTTGACCTACATTTGTAGTCTAGCCCCCATTCATAAATACGCACATTTATTTATATGACTACTAGTGCAAATAAGTACGAAATATTGAAATAAATTAACAGTGAATTAACTTATTACATTACATATTATATTTGCATGAATTCATAAATTTGGAATTATTAAAAACACGAAATTGGATACTTTTTCAGATCTACAATGTCTTGCAAAAGTATTCGGCCCCCGTGAACCTTTCAACATTTCGCCACATTTCAGGCTTCAAACATAAAGATATACAATTTTAATTTTTTGTCATGAATCAACAACAAGTAGGACACAATCGTGAAGTGGAACAAAATGTATTGGATAATTTAAACCTTTTTAACAAATAAAAAACTGAAAAGTGGGGCGTGCAATATTATTCGGCCCCCTTGCGCTAATACTTTGTAGCGCCACCTTTTGCTGCAATTACAGCTGCAATCAGAATCAGAATCAGAATCATTTTTATTGCCACGTAAGTAACAGGAGGTCACAGACTAGGAAATTGCTTTGGCTCAGTGCAACAGTCAAAAAGAGATAATAAAAATAAGAATAAAAAACACTTCTAAAGAATAAATTTAAATTTAAAATAGAGATACAGTTACTATTTACAATATACAAGTGCACATGGTGCACACAATGTAAGGTGACAGCAGTACAGTTAAGTAAAGTGACGTATGATGGGCAGTAAAGTGACTTTATAAAGGGCGGGGGGACAGGTTAAGAAGTGTTCAAGAGTCCAACAGCAGAGGGGAAGAAACTGTTCTTGTGGCGGGAGGTTCTAGTCCTGATGGACCGCAGTCTCCTGCCTGAGGGGAGTGGTTGGAATAGTCCATGTGCAGGGTGAGAGGGGTCGGCTGTGATACGACCAGCCCGGCCTCGAGCTCGGGCGACGTACAGGTCCTGCAGCGATGGAAGGCTGCGGCCGATCACTTCCTCTGCAGAGCGCACAATGCGCTGTAGTCTCTGTTTGTCCCTGACTGTGGCTCCAGCGAACCACATGGTGACGGAGGAGGTGAGGATGGACTCGATGATGGCCGTGTAGAACTGCACCAACATCTGTGCAGGCAGCTTGGCTTTCCTGAGCTGCCGCAGGAAGTACATCCTCTGCTGGGCCTTCTTGATGAGGGAGCTGATGGTCGGCTCCCACTTGAGGTCCTGGGTGATGGTGGTGCCCAGGAAACGGAAGGACTCCACAGAGGTGATGGGGGAGTCCATCTCGGCGGGGGGGGGGGGGGGGACAGTGCTCTTCCTGAAGTCCACAATCATCTCCACTGTCTTCTGGGCGTTCAGCTCCAGGTTGTTACCACTGCACCAGGACACCAGCCGGTCCACCTCCCTCCTGTAGGCGGACTCATCGTTGTTGGAGATGAGTCCAATGAGGGTGGTGTCGTCCGCGAACTTGATCAGCTTCACGGAGTCGTGGCTGGAGGTGCAGTGGTTGGTGTACAGGGAGAAGAGCAGGGGAGAAAGAACACAGCCCTGTGGGGCTCCTGTATTTATAATCCGAGAGTCCGAGACATTCTTCCCCAGACGCACTCGC